ATTTGTTTAACCTCAAAAGTACAGTTTTTTTAATTTAATGTTGCTGAAACAGCAAGTTCCTCAGTGGACCTGCGCTCAAAAATGCAGCCTAGGTGGAGTAGTCGAACACAGATCCACTGATCCTTCAACACTGAGAATCTTCAGAAGACATGTTGATAAAATAAATTTTTTAAATCTGTATTGTTCGATACGGTTTGATACGGGCACATGTATTGTTGCTCCCCTAATAATTAGTTATGCTGCTAATTTGTGTTTTTCTCATACTGAAAAACAAGTTTGTTTGTTTTATAAAAGTTATTATATAACTGAGTATCATCATTGTAACAATGGAAATTTATCCCATGCTGTTTAATAACTTTACCTAATGGAAGCATAAAGTAAAGAGGATTGATCCAAGCACTGAACCCTGAGGAACTCCATGACTACAGGACAATTATGGACACAAGCCCTGTTAGACGTATGTCAACCTACATACTTGTGTTCATACTTGTCCTGTTAAACAATAGACTGCTGGAGGACAAACTGTCCACATGTCCTCACCCTGCTGCTGTCTTTAGTCTCTCTCCTCTACATGTTTGTTTTAATTATTTCTATCAATAACATGTTTTCTTTGTCTCTTCCAGAGGTTAGGGTTAGGTTTGTGATTTGGACCAGTTTTTTAAAATAAATATTATCATCAGCGTGAGTTTTTCTGTCAGCTCTGTGACTATTTTGAACATTATGAAACTAAGTTACAACATACTCAAAACAAAGTAATAAGATATCTATTAAATGTAGGAACTCGCACACACGTCGGAGCACAACAGTTTAGTCAGGTTGGAATGCTACCATGTGAGTTACGGGTTAAACAATTAAAGTATAATCTTCTATATAGTATTGTAAACAAAGAAGCTCCACACTACTTATCTAAACAGTTTGAACCAGTAAAAAATCACCACTCAATTAGAACAAGGTTTAGTAAAAAGTMATTTCAGGTTCCAGCAGTTAAAACTTCTGGCAAATCCACTTTTCATTATACTGGCGTGTTGTTGTGGAACGAGTTACCAGAGTTTATTCHGGTTACTGCATACAAGCCCCTATTCAAGTGTCGAGTAAAACAGTTCTTATTCCAAAGGCTAGTCAGGCTATAATCAGATGATTATAGCCAGTGCAATGCACACTATTGTTTTCCTGTTTCTCTTTATTATTATTCAGCTTATTCTGTCTTCTTCCACGTCGCCACGCTACTCCTCCTGCATACTTTGTCCTACAGCTGCCATTGCAATTTCTATCTGTAAAGGTCCTGTGCCAAATGATTGCTGTGCCTTCTGGTGCCTGTACAACTTGTAGTTTTTGAAATATTAATGTTTAAACTTTATTCCAAAATTCATATAATGGGAGTCAATGGGGACTTGTAATGGTCCAAAACTGCCCCATGCTGGACTCAACTTGGTACTTGCTCCATTCTTTAATAAAATTTCATCTCAATTGTTCAGTGTTTACAGTACTAATATGATTGTATTTTGATGTTTTACTATGTTATTGTCTTAATACTGCTCTATTGTTGTAATATTATGCAGTTTAGTGTCAATAATTGTATTGGCAATGTGGCCTCTTTCTGCACACATACAAACAAACCCCTGCCACCATCTTCTGCCACAACTCCATTGGTCTAATGGTTTATGTCATGGACTTTCATGTGGGAGATCAGCTTTAAAACCCAGCTAATGCAATTTTAACAAAAACTCTCCTCCAACTTCATATTGTCACACAATTACTCTTATTACAAACACCTGCTGACGTGACAGGTACAAGCTTGTCTAGAAAACACATTTGAACTTGGTCAAAGCTCATTCTGCAAGTCCACTGCTGCAGGTAAAACCATGCTGCAATGCACACTTGTTTTTACATCGTAAAAACCCCATGTCTAGTTATCTCTTAACTTTCTTTATTTATGCAGCCAACGGTTCTCAGGGATGATCAAAAGTAGAAAAATTAAGACCTGACAAAATTAAATTTAAGACTTGGGTGAAAATCTGGATGTTTTTAAGACTTTTTTAGACCCGATATGAACCCTGGATACAGTTTTAGTTATCATTTTATTATAT